GGCTAAGAAAACCCTCCAAAAGAAAATCTAATTTGATGTAGAAAAAAGGCCATCCTAGACCTCAGTGACAAAAGGACAGGGTTTGATAACGGGGTGATTGGGGGGGTGTAGTCCTGAGGAGCATATGACACCTGGCACACCAACTCCCACATCTACAAATCTTAATATGTTCTCTTCCAAAAAAACAGTATTGTGTGATGTTGTTCAGCGTGTTAATGGATTTATATTAGTTTCATGGTCTGCATGGCTATTCGGGTCCAGCACACCAGAGAGTTTGTTTGTTTCCTTCCTTCCTTCATTTATTCAATTTGTATTCCACTCCCTTTAGTGTCAAGGCATTACTCTTGGCAGTTACAACACATATAATATAAAACAAAAATAATGGTAGAAACATTAAAAGCAGCAACAATAACCCTAAAAACAGATGGTACCGACTAATCATATAAACCCAGAGTGGATGGAGTGAAAGCGGGGGGGGGGGGGGAGAAGAGGAGGGGGGAGAAGACGGTTAGCTGGAGTTGGTGTGCGAAGCCTCCCTGAAAAGCCACGTCTTTAATTGCTTCCGAAACGTCAACAGGGAGAGGGCTAGGCGGAGCTCCTCCGGAAGGTGGTTCTCTAAGGTTGGAGCCACCACAAAGAAGGCCCTATCTCTTGTAGAAGACTTACAGGCCTCCCTTGGGTTGGCCAACTGGAAGAGCCTCAACTGAGATGATCTTATGAGTCAGGTAGATGACATTAAAGGAAGCAAAAAACCCGAGGCCATTCATGCTGACCTGGACTCTCCACCATCAGCCTAGCTGATCTGGGGGTGACCATCGCTGCCCCAACTCCCACTGCCCAGCTGGTTCAGTTTGACCCTGTTGTAAAGGAGTGAGCCTCCAGGGTAATAGCTAGCTTTAGGCCCACCGTCTCCTCGTTGGATCCTTGCCCAGAGAGGGTGATTAGAGCCGTGGCGAAGGGAGCCTCCACTGGATGTCCTCGGCTCACCTTTTCTGGGTGAAGCCTCCTTTCTTTTTGATTTGTGGCTTCACTTTCTCAGCTGGGAAAAGGATAGGCAGTTTCTTCCATTCCTCCAACACTGGTATGATTGCGTTCTTCCTAGAAATGTTACTGTTTTTCCCTTCACCCTCACCAATAAACTCGCCCACAGGTACTTTTGTTGCAAAGCTCTTCATAGGTGGGGGACCACTATCACGGGTCCCTTCAAGGTTCTCAGGCAAGTTTCTTTTAGGTGCCATCTCAAACACTTGGCTTATGTCAGATGTATTGAGATTTTCAACATCTGGTTCTATTCCTTTGATCTCTGGTTTATCAGGTAAGGGTTTATTCTGCAAGATTCTCAGGACTTTTGCAGCTGCATGGGGACCCTTCTTAATACTAGTCCCTTCAACTTTCCAGTGCTGCTGCAACAAATCCACAGGTCCTGACCATGCCAACAGCAATTCACTCCCCTCTATGGGTCTCAGCCTCACCATTTTGTCCTTGGGACAGAATGCTGTTTCCTGGGCCTTTTCCTCACACAAGCCTTTCTCCTTTCCATGAGTACCCCCCAAGCTTGGCTCTGCTACCTCTAAGGACTTCTCCCTATATTTTACAGGGACAATTAATTATTTGTAGGGTCCCCCTCTATGAGATGCCTTTAAAACCTCTCTATATAATAGGTCTATACGGTATCATTCAAGATTTTCAGGGGTCAGTGGAATTTCCTTAACTTGTGCAAAACATTCATTTTAGGTAGGGTCTTGCTTCTGCTCATTAATAAAGGAGGAACTATTTGGATTCTTTGTTATGAACGCTTCAGCCATTTCTGCTACCTCAGAGTTTTCCTCCAGACTGGGCTATCCCAGGTTTGATTAAGAGGTTAGGTCTTCCAGTCTTTCCTCAGGGACTGTAATTTGCTTGCCCTGGGAGCGGGTTACCACTAAAACACTCTGCACATCCTTAGAGAGATTAAGCCGATTAAACAAGGACACTGCTAACTTCCATATACCAGACCACCCCTGGTATCTCACTGCTACTTTGGCCATTGGCAGCACCACCACGCCTTTGAGGGTGATGTTTTGTTTCAGCATATTTTCTTCAGGAATGATGTCTGAGTGACAAATAGTAACTTGGGAAAAGGGTCTTTCAGACCTACACTTCATGTTGTCAATGAAAATAGGCTCTGCAGAGTTATTCAATAAATCCTGATTGTACTGAAAAAGGAAACATTATAACACTCTCACTTATGGAAGGTCTGGGCAATCTGCCAAGTCCGTTTCCATAGCAACCATGTTGTGGCGGAAAGAAGCCTCAGCTTCGACTGCCAATTGCTCTGCCTTATTATGCTGCACACAAAACACCTTCTTAGGTGGACTGGAATTTCCACCTTTATGCTGGTTAAAATCCCTAGTCTTTTGAGTCTCACACTGAGCCCAAAAATGACCTTTCCCACCACACACATAAAATTGTTTACTGGCCTTGGGTTCAAAACAAAGTGCCTTATTAACTTTTCCCTCAGGACTATTAGGTTTCAGATGACTGTGCTCTGGAGATGAGGGTCTGTCTCCAAAATGGCTTCCTACTGTACTTCTGAGTTAATCTCTACCAGGTGGGGGTCCTCTCCTGTCATCCCACACTTTTCTACCAATTTTACCTCAGAAAATCGAGGATATCTAATCCACTGGTTCTTAACCTTGGGTTACTCAGGAGTTTTGGACTGCAACTCCCAGAAGCCTTCACCACCAGCTGTGCTGGCTGGGGTTTCTGGGAGTTGCTGTTCAAAAGCATCTGAGTAACAAAGGTTAAGAACCACTGATCTAATCTCACTAATGGAATCAGCAAATTCAGACACCTGTAGTACATTTTTAGGATTTTTGTCCTTGACCAAATAACACAATTCCTTTGGCAATACTGAATAAAATTGTTCTAAACCAACCACATCTCTCATTTGGTCTACAGAAGTAACTTTTTTACGTTCCATCCATTTGTCCAAGCCCTGAATCAATTTAGCTCCCACTTGGGCATAAGATTCTTCAGGCTTTTTGGTAAGGGAAAGGAATTTTCTTCTAATGTCTTCTGCATTTATACCAAATCTAGAATATATATTTTTCTATATGCCTCATAACCTCTAGCTTGCTCCAGAGACATCTGAGAATAAAGCTCAGATAAATCTCCACTTATTTGTGATCTCAAAACTATCATCCTTTCATCATCCTTAATCTCAAAGTCCTGTACACTCTCTCTAATGAAATTAGGAAAGATTCAGGGTAATCTCCCAGTTCCTCCTTCTGGTGGCCCTCTGGGACAGTGCATTTTGCCCACGGCCACACAGATGCCAGGGCATGTAATGTCATCAGCCACACATGCTCCAGTTGATCATGCCTGGCCTCTCTGAGGGGAGGACCAACACTTACTCCCTGGCCCTGTCAACAAGTGCCCCAACCCACTAAGTGATTCCAGCATCATGCACACATTCTCCTTCATAGGAGGAAATGAATGTCAAGGCATCAGCAGACAGGCCTGTCTCCTGCAGTTTGCCTCAGTCTCTCAGGAAGCTTTAAGTGATGCCTTTATGCATGGTGGGGGTGGTGGGTTTGTGAGGCTCCGTAGGCAATGGTACCTCACTAACGTTTTCCTTGTTTCCGGGTGTATATGCAGGTCATGTACCCCCCCCCAAATTAGAACACGTCAATTCTCAGTCACATAGATATATTTATTATGACTTGCACAACATCAAGTACATTATTGTTGTATATATAAATACCATTGTTAATAAATGGCATGTGAGGCAGAAAAAACTCATGTTTCAGGATGTACATCCTGGAATCCTTAGTGATTGCAAAGCCCCGTTTAAAGTGCCACAGAATGAATAAATGACTTCCTATTTACGGTGGCCGCCTTTGCCGATACTGTCTCCGTCTGGGTACAGCCGGATGCAAAGGTGGTAGCCATAAATGTGGGTGGCAAAGGCAGGGGAGTAGATGGGATTGCCTCCTTCTGGCTTTGGCCTCTTTCAAGAGCTTGGAAAATTTCTCCACCTTCCACACCAGGGTCCCGTCAGTGCTGACCAGCTCCGGCCCCCTCGACTCAGATCCTTGGCTTCCATGGGGGGAATCGTGCGTCTCCTGAGACATTTTGAGCAGCCGCTCATACTGGGAGCAGCTGCGCTGGAGGGACTTCATCGCAGCTCCCTGGCTGACTATCTGTCGGCGCAGAGACACCACCAGCAGCTCCATGGCTTCCATGCGCATCTGGAGAGCCTCCACATTGAGGGCAGCATCAGCCTAGAGAGGGAACGATTAAGCATCACACCTCTGAACAGACCAAGGAGGCTCAACGGGAGTCATCAAACCCAGGCAGAATTTTCAGCCTTCCTCACAGCTCCTGAGAGATTTCACCAAGGCATTTTGCTTCCTGATGTGGAGGAATACCTACCAATGTCAAGGTTCCCACATTTGGGGAACTGTAGTCCCAAAAATAACCCTTTAAAGCTGCAGCCTATTCTCTCATACTCACTTTATAAAAACCATATATTTTCTGAATATCAGAGTATAACTATATCCTCAAACTGCACACCTCTGTTCAATTTCTTCTAAGGCATGTTTCTCCTTCTGAAATTCTCCAGCACTAACCTCTCTTTGCACCCCTAGCCAGATTCTTTCTCCCACAACTCAATGTTCTCCTACATCTTCTTCCACTCCCAGGCTTTCATGGGCCATTTGATATCTTATTATATAGATATATAAGATATCAAATATAACTAGTCACTGCAGCCAGAATTCTTTATGCTAAGTATTGGAAGAAATCGGAGCTACTGAAACAAGAGGAACTCACTGAGAAGATATGGGAAGCAGCAGAAATGGCTATACTATCGGAAGTGTTGAAAGACTGTCCAATACAAAAGGCAACTGAACGATGGGATTTATTATATAAATGGCTTGAGTCACCAGATCGTGCTTGAATAACATAGAATTAAACTAAGATGTAACTGTAAGTTGAAACCTGGAGGGCAATCAAATGGTAGAAAGGCGGAAAGTTGACTTGATATAGCAACATGAGCAAACTGGATGACAGTACATTTTGTGTTCTCCTTCCCCCTCTTCCCCCCCATATCCCTCTCTACCTTTTGTATTCCTTATCCAGCTTTTCCTTTCTTCATCAGTGTCTTGATCTCCAAGAGGAGAGATGGCTTTCCTTGAAGTTCTCAATGTGCCACAGGGAGGCAAGTGTGTTCCTGCAATAAAAAGATCAGAATATCACAGGGGCAAGGCAGAGAGATGAGCAGAGAGGTCTTATGTTGCTGATCAGGGATTTGAAGGCATATCCAAATATACAAATGCTAAGAGGCTAAAACACTTCAAAAGTATATTGGTTTCACACGCTTTGAACTATTACGGATTCCATCAGTGTACTTAATAATAATAGCTTGATAAAAACTTTGAGATACCCCAGCTGTAAATTCCCAGCCTTAACCAAATTACCATTTCATGGTGAGTGGCAATGACCCAGATTAAACCTGTAACAAATTTATGTCCAGGTTGCTTTTCTGAATTTTCACCTTCCTTTGTTTCCTATTCTTTCTCTCTTCAAATAACTGACTTTGCTTATGAAGATGGAAGGGCAAACATTCATGGAAATTTTTACTCAATTGCTCCATTGCTATTTTAGATTTCCCAATGATATAATTATTATTATAATTCAATTAACTTTGGACCATAGTCCCAGAGCAACTAATCCTAATTACTCGCTCTGACTAACATCACTCCTTCTAATAGTTAACTCATGTGGAGGCTGTCAACAAGAGCAGGGCCAAAAGGCAGACCCCCGTGAAAAGAGGGAAGGCCTTAGCCTGCACAGATTATCATATTTTTCCATGTATAAGACTATACTTTTATCTAAAATCTTTAGACTAAAAATTGAGGGTCGTCTTATACATGTAAGTAAGCTGAGGAGAAAAAAACAAGTGGAGGAGAAAGCAGGAATCAAAGTGATCCTGCAGGACTTTGATCCCTGCTTTCCCCTCTGCTTGCTAAGTCCCATGGGTCTTAGTAAAAGGAGGGGGGAAAGATCAAAACAATCCCGTGGCTATATAAAGGGGAAAGGGATCAAAATAATTGTGCAGTCGTGGAATTGCTTTGATCCCTTCCCACCTCCTTTTGCTAACCCACGCGAAGCTTAGCACAAAGAGAGAAAGCAGGGATCAAAGCCATCCTTCAGCACTTTGATCCTTTTTACCCTACATTTGCTAAGTCCCACTTAGATTTCTTAATTTTGGGTTAGAAATGTGGGGAGGCATCTTATGCATGGGGGCGTCTTATACACGGAAAAATACGGTAATACTAAGGATTACCAAAGCACAAAAAAGACAATTTTTAAAAGCACGCAAAGGAAATTATGACTACTAATTGGAATTCTGAATCTGTAGGAAAACACAGAGCCCAGCTGAAACATTATGCTAAAACAATTGAACCAGATGTGTTACTTTTTCTGTCAGATACAAAGTCTTATATAAGGCTTTTGAATCTCAGGTGTTTGCAGGCACATGTGTTGAATGCTACGAGCCAGCCAGGAAACATGGCTCTAACCACTTTCACCCTGGTTGGTATGTGTGGCGCAGGGCGGGAGGTGGTGAGAGACAGTCTTCACGCAGCTTACCTGGTATGATTTGAAGGTTCCGGTCCAAGCGCAGTCAAAACAAGCGCAACTTGTGTGACTCGTTCTCCGCGGCTTTGTCATTATGGAACTGAGGACAACAAGAAAGATTCAACATGTTTGACATTCTAACATCTGATCCCCATCTTCTCCATGAGAATATTTGCAGTTTTGTGTTGTGTGCCGTCTGTTTGATATCTTACTTTAAACCACACTAAAGCCTTTGCAAATTCAAATGGTCACACAGAGCTTTGACATAACGTCAATACATTGACACGTCATCCTAGCTATTGTAGGGACCGTGGGCAGTGGAATTAAACATAAAGTCAGTCCCTGTTTAAGATATCACATCCATTCAGGCTAATGCTCAAGAATATTTTTTCACAACTCACCTGTTGTGTTCTGAGTCTTTGTTTAAAAGTACAGCATGCCCTATTGTCTGTATCCCTGCGGAGGAAAAAGAACAATATTAATCTACTGGACTCACTCAGGGTGTTTGTATGTTTGATAAATGTAAGTTAAACATCTCTTTTCCTCATACACACATATGGATCCTCAGAAGGATCTCTTCTATCCCAGAGAGAAAGAGTTGATTTCTTTTTTTTCAACTACTACTCCCAAAATATCCGACCATGCTGGCAGGGGAATCATGTCTCTTTCATCCTTGGATGACTTCTGCTCCACAAATCTATTTACTGTATTTTGCCTCTTCATACATGCAAAATTCAGCCACAAATTCAACTTGATTACAAAGAAAATTACCAGAAATGTCAACCCCTTTCCATTTATTTATTTATTTATTGGATTTACTGTCCAACATAAATGGAGGAGACAAATGAATTCAGTTAGCCATACACATTACTAAAGCATCATAATTAGAACTGCTGCAGAGGTCCGCTCAACAATTTTCTCTAGGATACTGCTCATGAAGAAAGGCTTCTATGGCTTCTATGGCAGCTAGTGATGGGCAGCGCTTTGATGTGACTGGTCCATCAAAAGAGAAGTCTACCATGTCTTCAACAAAAGAAGTCAATAAAGATGTCAAAAAATGTAATAAGCAATGCTTGAAAAATTGAAAACAAAGAATGCACATAGTACACTTTAAACACATGATCCAATTGAATGAGATTTTGAATTATTGCTAAGCATAGGTGTCAAGTGTATTTAACAAGGAGCCCGGCTAGCCGTACTGGGACACACACACACACACACACTGCACACTCCAGTTTTTCTTTTTAGTAACATTTTTAATGCTCGTGTCAAAATTTGTTCCACTGCTTAAACCAGTCCCCAAACAGTTAAGAACATACAAAAGGCCCATATTTATGTCCAGTATTCTGTTCTCCCTGGAAGAGCTTGCAATTCCAAAATGTTATAGCTAAAAATTAAAAAACAATAACAAAGAGGTGCCTAATGCAGAACAAATGCAACACTTTTCATAGTTCCAACTTAGTCCACAATCCTGCTTCCCATCCATGATGAAACATGTTGCTGCCCCAAGCAGATCAGTCAGTAAATCCATACAATCCACCAATCATGGTGTAAATGAAGTTATTTTGGCTCCTGAGGAAGTTGCCAGAGACAGCCTTTCCAGTCTGGGCAGGAAAAAAATCCAGTGATAAACTAAATGATTCCTTGACTTGCTCATAATTCCAAGTCTTATTTCCTTGCTAATGCCTGCATTCTAGAGCCAAGAGTCCCGTCCTTCATCCTGACAGGGCTAGCATTTTCCCTTTAATATCCAATCTGATGCCCCTGAGAAGCCGGCAGGGAGGGGACTGGCCATATACTGTAGTTAAGAAGAAGGGAAATCTATTTCTTGAGATTTTCAACCAAAAAAGGAGGGGTGGTGGACCAACAGAGAACCATAAAAAGAGGGGAATGATAGCGAGTCCAATGGCAGAGATTGCAGAAGTGGGAAAAGTTTTATTTTGGGGGAGATCTCAATTGCCAGAACTTTCCCTCCTTCCTTAAATAATTAATTTATTCTCCTATTAATTAATACACATTTAAAAAACTAAACTTTCCCAATTGCCCCTGAAAAATGCCACGAGGTTCGGACAAAGGTCTCAAAAAACAAAACCCACCACGCGACCTTTCCTCCAAACGGCGCCTCCGGAAGGCAGGATTTGCGCCCCCACTGACCTGAAAAGCCCTTTCACGCAGCCCCCGCAGTAGCGATGCCCGCACTCGGCCTGCTGCGGGTCGATCAGGAGGAATCCACACGCCTGGCACAGCAATCCCGCAGTCTTGATAAGCCGCCTCCGGCCCCGCGCGGCTCCCAGGCGGCGTGAGTCAGCCAGAGGCCGGGCCAGCCAGGGAATCCCGGGTGACGTCAGACGGCGGGCCCTGCCTGCGCAGCCGAGGGCGCGGCCTGCCTCTGTGCGCGCGCAGGTACGCGGGAGCCGCGAGCGCGGGGAATGCCTGGCGAGATGCGTCGGAGAGGCGGGAAAGGCTGCGGAGGACTCCTCCCCCCCCGGGAGGGGTGGGGAAGAAAAGGAAACCGAAGACGCCGCTCAGAAAGCGCGGGAAAGGGCGCGGGGGGAGGGGGAAGAGAAGTGGCCCCCAAAGCAAGTCCGGGCGGAGTTTTTCGGGGGGATGGAACCGCAGTGTCCCCGAATGGGGCTTCCCCGGCCTTTCCCCCGCCGGAGCGCTTGTTCGTTCCGACGAACAAGGTGTCCCGTTTCTTCAAGGCTGAGTCAGGAGGTTTTGGTTAGAAGGGGCCCCCATCGAGGCGGCTTTTGGGGAGAAAGTCACGGGGCAAGGGAAATTTAGACAAGGACCTGGCGGAGAGCCTTTGATTCCTGCCCTGAGCAAGGGGGTTGTGTTCAGTGGTCTGCTGAGGCCCCATCCGACTCCACGACTCTGCGATTCTGTGATTGTTCGACTCTTGTCGAATCTTGCCTGATGATTTTTCTTGCAGCTCAACAAATGTTTTTAGTCGATAAGCTTCAGGCAGCAGTTGCATCATTCTGAGGGAAGAAATGCACGTTGCCGGGTAGGTAACGTGGGGAAATACAATATTCCTTCAACAGGCCAACAAGTCATCGGCAGTCGCTTTAAAAGAGAACATGACCAGGCAAAACTGCAAGAAATGAGTAACACACATTTCCTACAGCAGTGCCAACTGGAATAGTAATTAAAAAACACTCTCTGGAAAAGCCCTTGTACTGTACTCCCTGAACAGTCATGCATGAGTCAGGCGTGAACTGCAACCAAGTTCACGGGTGACAGTTATAAGCTAGGAATCCAGAAAGAGTTTAAGGAAGTGCTCTATCAAACGTTTCTCCATAGGCGAGGTGAAAAGAGTGCAAAGTGTGGGAAAAAAATAAAATGAATTGAAATCCTAACTTTTGACCTCTCTCTCTCTCTCTCTCTCTCTCTCTGTGTGTGTGTGTGTTCAAGTTTAGGCTCTCTATCCTCCTCTCTCCAAGAATTGACAACAATACTTTAGGA